ACTACTGAGTACACACTACATACTACTGAGTACACACTACATACTACTGAGTACACACTACATACTACTGAGTATACACTACATACTACTGAGTATACACTACATACTACTGAGTATACACTACATACTACTGAGTATACACTACATACTACTGAGTATACACTACATACTACTGAGTACTGAACTACTGACTACACAGTGCACAGTGCACAGTGCACACCCAAAAGCAAAAAATAAAACTTCGAGAGCACTAATGTAAGATGTGAGCGCGTTGTTGCGCAGAGCACCAATAAAAATAACGGAATTATCTCACCGTTAAAATATTCAACATGAAAGACCTTTTTGGGGGGGGGAGGTTTTTTGTAAATAAAAGTTTTTTTCCGCAAAATTCAGGAAATGTTAAAAATCAGGTCGTATGTAGATGCACATTAAAGTTTTCAGTTTTAGACCAGAGCTGAAGGCTTTATGGCTATAACATTTTTAAAGGTTTGGGTCTATATTTTTAATTTGTACGCTGAAATCTGTTTGATTTACGTCTCTATGCCGTTCAAATCATAGTGTGGCCCCGTTGGGTGACAGTCTGACAAATAGAGAGAACAGCCATGTAGTACAGTTGTATATGTATTAACATACCATGTAGTAGAATCATATATGCATTGAACGTGTCATTGAGGCTCCAGAATGAGCCACGGCACCTATCTGACTACTGCCACTCGATTAATAATCTTTAGTTAGAGGCTCGCTCTACACATTATATGCTCAATTCAGAAAGTTTATCGCAATTGTGAATCCTATACTTAGGTCCACGAAATCTATCCATACAATAACGCACTAACGTATACTATTGTATTTAACGTGTGCTGCGCACATACAAGATTTTATTGTTCCAATTAAAAACTGCTGGAATCATGATATTCCTACTTGTCTTGAGACTACGACTCTTATTTATTTTAATCAGACTAATAGGAGGGTAATGACCATCAATAAAACCTATGAGAAAGATTCGGATTGGAAATTCAGAGCTATCTATGCTATTGCTTTCTTCACATAATCGTCAGTATTCAAGCGCAGAGACAAATTGTTCACTGCATATTATTGCCGGTCCTGTCCAAGCAACTGACAAGAGAACAGCACACCCTACCCCGTCTATCGTTCAATAGGTGAATATATCTATATATGTAGTGTATATACAAGAGAATCAATTACTTCATCGTTTCTTAACTACCTCGTGTGACAACTGTGTGCGACCTTGTGCATATTTACGGCAAAAAAATAAATATGTATGAGTCTATGATATATTGAGTTATTGACAAAGCCTTCTGAAATAGAAACCGTATGTGGATAAAGGAATAAAAAAGTGATATGAATTGTTGCAAGGTTTTAATTGGCTCTTAGGCTTTTTCAAAATATATTTGTAATAAAGGTAATTGATTGGCTGATATCGGAACCTTTCCTGTGTTTTTACTTTCAGAATGAGATTGACTGAATGAGAACAAACTCTGAGTCTGGAGTCTGAACAGCTCTGGACCACGAACGCGAATAGAAGGTTCAAGTGGGAGAACGCTTCGTTGTATGTGTTCGGCTGTTCGATTTTGGGATAGCTATATAGGAAGCTTGATCAGCCGCACTCGTATCACTTTACTGCAGGGACGTGCAGCGTAAAGAGCCAAACGAGAACTCCACAATCCGAGCACGATGGCGTCCGGCGGAATTATGCACCCATATTATATAGCAAGCCAGAGACAGATACAGGCGGCGACTCCACATTCTGTGTCAATCAGCAGAGTTTTACCCAGGTCGATAATGAATGTAGCTCGCATGGGATCGTACGATAGCTTTGCGAGTACGCGATCGAGTTCGACCAATGTATATTCAGATACGTGCAGCGATGAGGATGTCGAATCAGTCGACTCTGGGATGGAGGAGCATGAGATGGCCAACGAAATGGAACACAACCACAGCCAAGATCAACCCCTTCACTCAAATGAAAGTATGAATAGCATATTGGCTTTCCGATGTGAGAAATGTGGAAAGAAGTACAAACAAAGAAACTCTTTATTTAAACACCAGTGGGAGCATAGTGAATTCTGGGAGCCAACTGCCAGAAAATTCAATATGAGCAAACATCAACAGGTTCAAGCTATGCAGGCAGCAATGCAGCTGATGAACTTCTCAAGCGCTGGAGAGTATGATTGGACTAAGGAACTACCTGAAGTTCGATTCTTAGATCTGAAATGATTTGATGGAGATGAACGTTAAGTCGCGGACACCCGCACAATCCTCCGACACTCATCATTCAAATCGACTGCCGACATAGAAGGCTGAAACAGCATGTCATACAAATACTGTTAAGCTGTTGTTTAGCTCAGAAGACGAGTTGAGACTAGTATGATTGTTTACGTTTAAACAAAGAATCCAAATTAGCGATATGTTGTGCGGCACTTAGTACTATTTGAAATGATTTTGAACATAGAAAAAAAGATCCGCAAGCATACACACGATATGCTCAAGGACTAATATAATGCATATATATATTATATTATACTACATACATATG